AAAAAAAAAAAAAAGACAAAGACAAATTGGCGGTAATTGCAAAATTTTTACAAATTATTATTCTGAAAAGAACAAAAAAGTTCTGCTAAGTAGATTATCTCCCGGTATCTCACTTAATATTGCAAAAATCTTATGACAAACGTTCCTAAAAAACGAACACGGTTTCGTAAACATAACTACAAACAGTAAACAATCTCCCCAAGACGAAAAATCATCTGAGCCTGGAGGCATAACTATAAAATCACGAAGCAAAAAGCAAAAGCCACCTTCCAGCTCTGAACGCAATTTGAGCACAAAAAGCAAAACCTGACTTAAAATACTATTTTTTCTAACAAAGCATGAATAAATTCATAAAAAGTTGAATAGAAGATCAAGCTAGGTTAATTTGTATCTGTTAAAACAAAAAATCTTCACTAAACCAAGACCAGAAGACTGGCAAAGTATAAACCAAGAATTTAATGCTGTGAAGTGCAACAATAATATTTTCTAAATTTCTCCTTCCATAGTTAAGTAGAACTGCTTAATAAAAAATGATGTCAATTATCTGACGGCAAGTCTACATTTACTTAAAAATGTCGTAAAAAAGGGGAAAAAAAAACAAAAATTCTTCGAATTTAACAACGCTTCCAGAAACGCAACTGTATTACTTAAAAAATTTCAAAGTATTCTAGGTGGTTGAAATTAATTTATTAAATTACGAAAACAACTTACTTTCTTCTTTCAAAATTATGACTGAGCATAAAAAAATCCCTCGACTTACTGACAAAAAATAGACTTTTTTTTGAAATTCCTAGAAATTAATAAAGAAAAAATTAGAAACTACGAACCAAACCGAAGCACCAATCTCTAAAAAAGAAATCTTCATCAAAATCATAATAAAAAGAAAGAAAAAAATAAGAAGGTTGGTAAAGACCTGTTGCGAACATATGCACCTGACAGAGAAATTCCAGATTTAAAACGAAAAAACACAACAAAAATAACATCTTGAACAAAACCTACATCCTGCAACGCCAAGTCTTTTCAATAAAACAAAAAAATGGTGGAAAGTAAGACGACTTTATCTGCTCTTCGTAAGAGAACAAAGCAATTAAAAACACCAAACTAACAAATAAAAATAGACTGCGCAGAACGAACCGGGGGGTTATAAGGTGTTGCTGACACTCCGTCCTGCAGAGGTTTTTTCTCAACATTTTCAACTTTAGACACCAAAGCAGGCCTCGACACCTCGTGATGATTTATTTGCCCATTTCGTAAACCACTACCTCTACGCCGGCCTCCTTTCCTGAAATCGAACATAATATCAAATCTTAATACCAATGTTCCGACTACTCAAAAATTTTAAGAAAGCATTTAAACCGTAAAAAGAAAACTGAAAAAGTAACAAAATTATAAACCTAGAAAATTTAAAACTTGGAAAGACGTGAAAAGACCAATAAATCAATTGAAAAGTCAGAATTAACAGACTAAAAAAACTATGCATTAGAAAATACTTTACGTTAATTACAACTTGTTCACTAAGAGAAACAACGAAGACGCAAAAGATAAAAGCACAAAGTAATTCCCATGGTGTAAAAATTGTCAGGGGCAAAACAAACTATCAAAGAAGAAATAATGAAATTCAAAGGTCTTTTCAGAAAAACTTATGTAACGAAAACCAACGCGCTAATTCGAAATGTAAATTCAGTGTCAGATGATAAAATTAACGTTATTTTCAAAGTGCTCTTTCCCCAACACAAAAATAACAGAAAATTCACTGTAATTCTTCTCTTTCTTTCCGTCATTTCGTTCTCAAAGTCCCAGAAATTAATTGGAAACTTCAAAACGACAAAAAAAAAAAAAAAATCAAAATTTGAGGAACCAGAACTTGTAACCAATCTTTTTTCTCAGGAAATTCTAGACAGCAGGTAAAAAAAATTAAAATTCATTTTAAAGAATATCCCCCGAAAATGGCCATTAATTTATTAACACTGTCAAAAACAATTTTCCAAAAAAGAAAAGTAAAAAATTCCAAAACTTCTGAATGAAAAAAATATTCTAGTTATGTGCATATACATTTCCTAATATATAACTAAAACACTGTAACGAATGAGAAAAGAAAACATAAAAAATCCCTCAAAGCAAAGGATTGTCAGCTGTCTCCTAACCTACTCCCTTTTTAGAAGACGAAGAGAAAGGTGAAGAAAGCCACGAAAATGAACGGTTAAGGAAGTACTACCTGCCGACACACTTTTGCTGCTTATGATTTAAAGCTTTATACTGAAAAACAAATAAATATCACTACCTTACTGAGCGTTGTTAAAGAAGCAAAAAAATTTGAATAATTTTGTGTGAGCTCGTTTCCTTCTTTTTTTTTATCTCTAAATTCAAATTTGCAAATCTGTGTAGAAAATAATGCGATAAAAATTATAGTAAATGACTGTAAACGCTAGTACCAAAATATCAACAACGTGTTTGAAAGAAAATCCAAGTATCGTGAATTTAAAATATGTCTCTTTAAAATATGCTTTTTCTGAAACTAATGATGATGGCAAACCCCAGTCAAACATAAAAAACAGATTTGCAGAAAAAAATGCAGATTTCACTGATTTCTTCCTAGAGAAGGCGGCATAAAGAATTGTTGTTTTCAAAGCATTTAA